GTGACTAGAAACCGGACGTAGTTCAGAGGCTAAGTACTATAACTGAGTTAATCAGTTTAACCTGTGGATTTAGGCGGCAAATAAACCTCAGACAGAGTCATAATTCAAGAACAATAAATCGGTGTCAACAGGTATGTCCAGCCTATAAAGCATTTCTCAACCACTTCTTGAACAGCCTGAATTAGAATTTGAACACCAACACAAGTAAACTAACTTTTTTCACCAGAGCAGACTGATACTAAAGACTGCAGAGGATTTATGTTTGACCTAAAGAGACAAGAAGATCTGCAGTTGCAACTTGACACCACTTTTACAAGCAGCAAACACGCCTTGGTGTTGGACTGGCTAAAAAAATAAAAAAATTAAAAAACTGCCCTCTGGACTCAAAGATGGCAATGAGATTGGTTTTTGAACATTGGGATTTATTTGTGAAATCCTGATTGCTCCATCAAGAACACCGAAATGTTTGAAAACATTACATATTCTGTATGTTCAAAGCTTTTTGTATTGGGCACAGCACATACAATATCACTGAAAACTACTTTAAATTCTAGACTATCAAGTCAAGACTGTGCGCACTAACCCCACATTGTGGATAAACTGTTTCTACCCAGGACCCTTATCCACTGCTGCCAACATAATAAAACACTAGAACTTCACAGTGTTTTACAGCTTCATTTCACTTCCCAGAAGTTGTATGCATGCTCAGAATCATTGCTCTATGACACACAGGAAGCCCACTGTTTTACTTTTACTGCACACGCCTGAAGACCTCGTCAAAACCCTGTGACAGCCATCCATGTTTTGGCTTTTTTTGTTGTTGTTTGTTTATTTGTTTTGTTTTTTACTTTGTAGCATGGTGATAATCCAGAATGAAGGGGCCTTAGTCATGGAGCCAGAAACATAATGTCCACTCAAGTCTGTCAATGGAATTGGGTGTCTGAAAGATAGTGCAGCTGTAAAAAGACCATCTTGAACTCTCAGAGATATGAGCTGAAAGTGTAGGCAGGAGTGAAGATGGGTATCCTTGAAAAAGAAACATTTATTAAACAAAGCAGGCTTACATGAACAGTTTTTCCTATCACACATTGTTCAATACAAACCAGTGAAACCAGGAGTATGTGGAGAAACAAATACTTGTAGGACTAAACAACCAATTCAGCCTTTCCAAGTCTGTTTAGTCGCAAGGAACGTGTTGCACACACAGTATTTGTCTAAACAATGGTAGAGTTGTCATTTTTAACCCGAACCTGAAGCCTGGCTTGAATCCGGGTTGGGCAGGGCCATAATAATGTGCTTAATGTGCGGGTTGGGTCAGTGTTGGACTCTTTATTGCTTCAGGGACACGCATGGCCCATGATCCAATTATATGCCAACATGGTTTGCCATACTATCACCAGCTGCACGTGGCCATTTCATCGCACGCTGACCGGCTGGTTGAAAAAGGTAAAAAAGTTCAGTTAACCTTCAGATGGACTACTGCCAGTGATCCATCAGCCCAAATGGATGTTCATTCAGCCGTTGCACTCAACGGACGCACACAGTCGCCAACCCAAACAGGTGAGATCACAAAATGTCTGACATGTCAGAGCAGGGTCCAATGCAGGCAGAAGCAGGGGAAGCATTTAATGTGCTTTGATGGCTCCTCAGCTTCGATCTTCTGCCCCCTTTACTCAGCCACCCACGTCCACCAACCGTTTATAATAGTCGGTGGTATAAGCAGTCAAAATGTCATGGGGTTTTGGGTTAGGACCTGTAATTAATGTTAATTTGTCAGATCGGGTGGAGTACGGAGATGATGGCTGCAGGCTGGGGCCGGGTCGGGTCTGATTTTTTGGACCCAAGTGCAACTCTACACAATGGGCCTGTTAGTTTCTTGGAATATATCACTAATGTAGTGTTATGACATTGTGTTATGTTGCCTTAATCTAAAATAAAGTTTATACATAGATAAAACTGTTCACTACCTACATCACTTGTCAATCAGCTTAAAGTGCAACACCTGCACTTATTTTAGCCACTTTAAATCACACTTGTTAAGCTAAGTCCAGCTGTCAGTGCAGTGGCCTAAATTCACGTTATTGAAAACCAGACAAATTTGACTCCGTCCCATGCATGACAACGTAACGCACTCATCCTTGAATAGATACATGCTCAAAAACAGCTCATCCATTCATTCATTCATGCAGTTTACCTGCTTCTCATTTTCTGGTTATGAGGAACTGATATCTATTTTCAGCAGTAATTGTTTGAGAAGTGGGGTACATAATGGACAAGGTGCAAGTCCATCCCAGGGCAACATCAAAGAAAAACAAGACAGACAGTTTTGTCAACTTAGCGAGCCATATAGCAACTTTTTCCTGAAGCTTCTAGCAATGAATTTAGTGACTTTTTCTGGTGTTATTTGAAACTTATGAAGACTGATATAAAAGCAAGTGACATCCTTTCCAACTAGCAGAGGGTGCTGTTGGAGCCCTTCCCTTCCCAAAGCAATCACGGGCAGCTCAATCCTCACACAGCGCACCCCCCCCCACCCCCGCCAGAGCAGGAGATATTCACCCAACTGCAGTCAGACTGCTAATGAATGGCGCATGCATGAAACCTTGCATACTGATTACTTAATTTCAAATGGATGTAAATAGTTTTCCATCTAAAATATGGCAGTTTTTTTAGGTCACTTTTAAAGGTCCTGTGGGTAAAAGAGGTGGGTTGTAATTGTGACAAACAGATAGAAATTGACAGATTGACAGTCAGTGAAACACTATCTACGTAAATGTGTTTAGACCTATTAGTCTTTCTCACATTTATTTATGCATGGCCTTTTTTTAAAATTAGCTGATGATGTAATTCAGTGCCTTCTAGTAATTTTTAAAAGCACCCTCTTCCATGCTAAGGAGTTGACAGAACATGACAGACATCCATTCACACTCACTCACACCTAATGACAATTCAGAGTTACCAGTTGACCTAACAAACATGCACGGTTTTTGACATATGAGGAAACTGGAATATAATGAGAAAACCTATTACGCACAGAGAAACGTGGAAACTCTCCACAGAATATATTCGGGTGGCTTTGAACCTGAAACTCTCCACAGAATAAACCCAGGTGGCTTTGAACTTGCAACCTTCCTGCTATGAGGTGACAGCTCCAACCATTGCTCTGCGGTGTCACCCATTTCAGAACACAAACATTTAATGGTGATAGGATCATGATCAAGTAATACAAAGAACGAAGTAACAGCTCCATTGTTGTTTTGGTTTTGTGGGTATATGCACAAAAACGAGGACTACGTCATCGTACTTCTGATGCTCTGTAAAATGAAGACTTAAAAAAAAAAATCCATAGACTGAGCTTTTGTAAGTATCTCAAATTGTTTAGGAGGTGCAAAGGCAACAGGAAATCTCTGTTCTTAAAAAAATATATATGTTTCTGACCAAATGTTACCACTTGACTGAGTAATATTCAAAGTTAGATCTGTGTAACATGATGCAAACACAAGTTACTTGGAAGAGGGCAAGGGGAACATATACATGCAACAGGATAAACATGTTAACTGTCTGGCACCATGCTTGTTAGGCTGTAGCCAAAAAAGATATTTAGTTAATGTGCTTGAGAGTCATCACATTGTTAATAGCTCATGGTCAGGACTGAAAGAATAAATACCAATTACTGTAACTGGGTGGGGAAGTTTAGAAAATTTCAAAACTGATTCAAAATGAACCCTAATTAGGGTTCATTATGAAACAGTGATTACCTTTCTGGTTACTGACTGACAAGCACTGATACCCTTCATCCTCCTCATCTGGTAGAGTTTGGCACTCCACAGGGAGGTGTCCCTCATCCAGCAGCGTCCAGCAACTGTCCTGCAACACTTGGCAGAAACTCTGGCAAGGCAACACAGGTAGTTGGACCACAGAGGCACACTGTGGTACCAAGAGGAGGCAGAAAAAACGCTCCAAGCTATGATGGCAATGTGACTGCAATAGCCATGCCCACTCATTCAGAAGTGCTCGGACTTCCTCCACACTGCTCTGGTTGAGATAATTGGGCACGGCAAAGCTTTCCCCCACCACAGAGGAGCAGAAAGGAAGAGCAGTATCTATCAGCAAGCATTGTGATGATTCAAAAACCAGTTTTGACTTAGCTTCTGTATGGGTTTTAGTTGTGCTATGGGTACCTAAAGCTTCTGTGTGGTTTTTAGTTGTCCTATGGGTGCCCAAAGCTGTCTGACTAAGAAGTAATGGTGAAGTAGCATCTAGCATCTCTGCAGTTTGACCAGTGAAAGTTTTCTGTCTAGTTAATAATGTTTGACTGGATGTTTGAAGAAGTTGGGTTTCTGCAGGTACAGAGTTAGAATCTGGTCTAGTACTATGGGTTTGGGGTTGAGTGATAAACACATTTTGGGTTTGAGTTTGTGTTTCTGGTATAGAAAGAGTCTTGTCAAGAACTGGAACTTGATCAGTCTTCACCATTTTAAACAAAACATCCTCACTAGATATCCAAGTATCTTTCAGTTGTTGATTGCTCTGAGACACTGCAGCAGCCAGTGCAAAGTTGTTGTCTAATTTCAGAGTTATTAAATCTTCAGATGTCTGATTTAAGTCATACCTGTTAAATCTGCTGTGTGTGCTGTCTGGATTGTTGTTAGGTCTTTTAGGAGCAGAATCAAAACTTGGCTCTAGTGTTGTGCTTCTAAGATTATCACCCTCTTCTGCTCTACTGGGAGAAGGTTTCTCTTGAAACTTTAGATTTTGCTGATTGTTTGGAGGCTCTTCATTGGCTTCACTATCTAGCCCTACGTGATAAATGGGACTTACTGCTTCTTTTCCAGATCCAAAACTCTTCTCAGTTCCTGGTACAACATCTGATTCAGAACTAAACAAAAGACCAGATCCAGAGTCTGATTCAAACTCAGTCCTAGATCCAAGTCTTCCAACAAAATCTAAATGGTTAGATTCTCCAGAACCCATGCCTTTTAATAAAGATGTGCCATTACCATGTTTAATTGTGTCTGATGAAATCCTTTGAGTGGTCTTTTCTGATGCATATTCACTCTCTGGTTGCACTGAGGGAATTGCAGTAGTCAGTTCAGGAGTCCTGGTGGTCTCTGCCCAAGTTTGCTCAGTCTTATAGATTCCAAGTTCTTCATCAATAATCTCTGCTCCAAAACTTGCATTGCTCTCAGATGGCAGCTCCCCACTACCTGCTGGACTGCCAGACCCCTCCTGCTCCACTACTGGGGGCAATGTTGTGGTGCCAGTCCGGAACCAGAACCAAGCATCAGAGCAGACCACCCACTGGGCCAGCAAAAACAAAACTCCAAACTTGATCCTCATTATTGGCATGATATCCAAACACATCCACCCCCACTGGATCAGGCTCCCAGAGCAAACGATGACATGTCCACACAGTCCCAACACCCTCTGCCACCACACACTCCACCAGCCAGAGGAGAGAAGTGGAGTCTTTTCATTCAAAAGATCCAAGGAGGAGGGGAAGAGGGAGGAAATGTGCTCCGTATTGGCTGCCGTGGCAATATTTATTCTTCTGACTCCTCCTTCCACTTTTGTTGCAGCAGTGAAAAGTGATCTGACACCACAGAATTACAGCAGCCTTGCTTTTCAGTGTACAAAAACTATGCTTTGTGGGTGTTAGAGGCCAATTTGCTCCCCTTGACTAATCATCTTTGTTAAACTATTGTAATTAGAGAACTACACAGTTAAAGGTTTGGCTGATTTAAGTTTTTAACTGAAGTAATTGCACTTTTAAAATAGTCAGCAATGTGTTAAAGTTCTGCTAACAAAAACAACTGCAGTGGTACAATGGGGTAAAATATTTAAATATACAATAAATAAATGGTACTTTATCCAATTACTGTGTTATTTTATTTAAAATAATGAAGGAATATTTGTTCAACAAAATTACATTTTGCTATAAAAGGCAATTATGTTAACGGTCTGTTTTTATTTGATTTAATAGAGACAAATATATGGAGAACCAGTGGACCAATTGTAATGAAACTTGCAGAAACTAATAATTAGAAGAACATCTATAACTGAAATAGTTTTGAAGTCAATTTAAAATGTTGCCACAGAATATCAACTAGCTAACGCAAAATGGATAAAACTGGATGTTAGAGATTTTGAGACAAAATTTTGTGTTTGACTCCAACAAAATTAAGTCAGGTCATCTGAACAGTTTCTTTTTTTGTTGAGATGTTTCGTCCTTCATCCAAAAATGACTTCATCCGTCTGAGGAGCCGCAACAAACTCAGTCCCACAAGCAGCACACTCACATAGTGGGCCAACCAGTTTGCTGGTGATAAGATGGTTTCTGGGACCCGGCCTCTCCCCCGTCGATGCCTCTGAGGCAGCCATGGCCAAAGTGATTCAAAACATCAAAGTCCATGCTCAATAATCCAGGTAAAAAAAAAAAAAATCCAACAAAGTTAAGCAAGGTCATCTGTACGATTTCTTCTTTTGTTGAGATGTTTCGTCCTTCATCCTAAGGACTTCTTCAGTCTGAGGAGCCACAACAAACTCAGTCCCACAATGGGACTGAGTTTTGAACCACTCTGGCTATGGCTGCCTCAGAGGAGTCGACAGGGCAGAGGGCGGGTCCCAGAAACATTTTATCACCAACACACTGGTTGGCCCACTATGTGAGTGTGCCGCTTGTGGGACCGAGTTTGTTGTGGCTCCTCAGACTGAAGAAGTCCTATGGATGAAGGACAAAGCATCTCATCAAAAAAAGAAACCATCCAGATGACTTGACTGAACTTTGTTGAATTTTTTATCTGGATTATTGAGCATGAACATTGATATTAGCTTTGACTGTTATCAACAGAGTGAATCATTTAAACATCTACACAGATAGCTGTAACTTAAAAAAAAAAAGTATTTATTTATTTATAAAGGAGCTAAAGTGTGGTGTAGAAGTACCGTAACTGTGACTACTTAACTGTATGCTTATCACTTTGATTAGAAAATGTGATTATTTTCTAACGCTTAATTGAAGGTCATTGTGAAATATGATCATTACCTTTCACAACGATCACTTTCACCATCTGTGTGCAAGGTTTTTCTTTAAAATTCAGGCACGCAAGTTGGCAATGTGCTTTCCATTCAGGAATGTTAGTTTCCTTACTTACAACAAATCAATTTTCTGATTAAAATGAATCATTTAATAATTTTTTTTTTGTGTGTGTGGGGGGGGGGGGTGTCATCTACAGAACAGTGATTTTTTTTTTTGCTCCCACAAACTTGGTTGTACACAAAGAAACGACATGCAGGCATTTATTGTTTAATCCAGTTTAGAGGGCTGCTTCAGCACCCTGTGGTTTTATTGTAATCCAGGCCTCGGTTTCTTGTCCAGACTAGTTTTTTCTTTTTTACACTGCCTTTGGAACTGGCTGACAGAGACCTTCAACAGCTCCTAATGGGAGCTCTGAGTTAAAAGGAATAAAAAAAAGACTTGTGCGTCTTTCTTGTACTTTGGTTAAAAATAAAGGACAGTATGTTCTGTGTGTGTGTAACCCTGCTCGATGATAAAAAGGGACTCAGTAGGCATCTTGTTAAGACTTATGCTTGTACAAAGAGGAAGAAAAGCTTCTGCAAATGCTTGAACACTTTAAATTGCTGTCCTGGACCAAAGTCCTTCATAAAAAAATAACATTTGTTTGGAAATTTTTCAGGTAAGTCAAGGTGATAAGGATGCTCCGGGCTTGACCGACCGGGAGGAGGCCCCAGGGAAGATCCAGGACACGCTGGAGGGACTCCATCTCTCGGTTGGCCTGGGAACATTGTGGAGTCCTCCCAGACGTGCTGGAAGATGTGGTTGTGGAATGAAATATCTGGACCTCTCTGCTCAAACTGCTGCCCCCACAACCTGACTCCAGAACAAGTGGAAGATAATGAATGGATGGATGGAAAATTTATGATTTTGTTTTAAACAGTTAAATTATAAATTACTTGGAAGGGATGAAATTTCTCTTAATCTTAAAGCCGGCTGGTTTTTGTTGCATATTTATAAAAACTAATAAAATAAAGTATCTGCAAAATAATTGGTAAATAAAGATATTTTAAAAATACTGATAATCTGAAGGTTTCTATATTCAGTTCAGTTCCATTTTCTCGCATGAGGCTGATTTCACTTTTGTAAACGTATACTCATTTGACCTTTGGGCAAGAAGAATTCAACACACTTAACTAAACAATCCCTCATCCTGACACGGTCAAAAGGGGACAGTTTAATTGTAGGCATAAAAATAATGACATCCTTTTGTGGGAAAAGGACTTTCTCAAGCTTACCTTCAAGGAATGCATCTGTAGAAAGAGACCAGCAAAACATATTTCAGGAGCTTTTAAAGTTATTGTTTAAAGCTGTTTCTAATTGATCAATAGAATAATTGTTTTTTTTTTTACTATCATATACCTACTGTTTATAGTTTTGACTTGCACAATAAATAATGCTTCAACGTTGGGGAGTTTACATGGAAATGAGCAAAAATGTCTATTTTTGTCATCTTGCTGTTACTTTACATTTTACTCATTGCAGGTTTAAAATATACCATAAATATAACATTGTTCTGGTTTGATGGATTATGATGGTGATGGTACGTGCAGGTTTATCATTTTTTAATAGCCTTGGATTGTTCAACAAAAAAAAAGGTCCAGAGAAAATTGGAAGGATCAGAATTAGAGTTTAAACAAGTGTTCTGTAATCTGAGCAACGATCAAGCAGCAAATCTTTACAATTAACAAAAATAAAAATGTTCACGGGAAGAAGGGGTTTCATAAACTTCCGCTTAAAAAAAAAAAAAAAAAAAAAAAGTGGATTCATGGATATTAACAACATTTAAAAAACCTCTGAGGCATCTTATTGCAACTACAGAGGTTTTACTGCTGTGAACAGCTGAGCTCAATTTATTTTGATTACTAAGACCAACGGAGAGACTTTCACTTTAATAAATAATCAATTTGCAGAGTTTCTTTTAAATAATTCATCCTAAATTTAAACAAGTACTTGATTTTTGTACGCTTTCCCTTTAACGTAGGCGTTCCCATCAGTGTTTTCTGCTTTAACTGGAATATTTTCGTTCTTTTACCTCAAGATTTACAATCTTAATTACGCTAAATGTGCAGGAATAAAGAGAAACTGCTTGAAGCAAAACAAAATTATGCACAATGATCCAAGAATGAGAACAAATGAATACCAGTGGCTGCCACCAGTACAGCCAGGGGATAAGTTTTCATACAAACTCAAAGAGAGGAAAGTTGTCAATCATGCACGAGTGACCAAACTCACAGCTTGTATGGAGAAACCTTGAACTAGAGGAGACCAAACTGTACTCAAAAACATACAGCCACCTTTGGATTGAGGGTATCCTGTATTCTCCGGGCTTCAAAGCTTCAACATACCTTGAACTTTGACGAAAATTATGCGTCACTGTTATGAGCATTTCTTTCATGTCTACTGGAACATGTACAGAGTCAAAACGACGACGCGACTAGAAGACTTCCTGCTTCAAAGTGTGGTGTTGGAAAGTTAATTACAGTACAAGCAGTCCAAAAGTTTGAGCTCTATGTTTAAGACAAAGGGGAGACTAAAAGAAGGAATGCATTTCCGATGCTTTTGATTTGTGTCAACTTAAATTAAATCCTCTTTGGTCATATATTACTGAGCCTTGCACTATAGAATTTTAATCTTTTATGCGTCTGTCACCCAAGTGCATGTTTTAAGTGGTTCAATTGTTAATAAGTCATAACTTAAAAAAAAAATGAGGATGTTTTCTTTAGCTCATGTTACATTCTGTTTGACTGCTGTCAAACTCCTGCCTGTTAACAGAACATTTTGACTTCTGCAAGGTTTTGTATAGAACACAAGTGAATGCAGCCACTGCTGAAAATTCCAACATCAGCTTCTCTAAAGCTCAAAGGCCATTTGGCACTTTCTTTTAAAATAATCTAACGGCAAAATGTCAATGCTTCGATACATAAACCATAGAAAAAGGAGTAAATTGTCTGAAATGTTAAAGTTCCTGGCAGCGGCTAATGAAGGTCCTCATAGCCACACACACCTGTATCTCACTTCCTGACAGCACTACTAACAAAACAGGCAAACAGAAACAAAACAGAAATGGGGACTTAGACAAAAAGTTCCAGTTTGAAAACTACAAGCAGAAATAAGTTTTAAAAAAAAACGCCCTTCACCTCTTTTTATGGAGAAAAGATTCAGGTGTATTATTACAGTATACAAGTGCTAGGTGTTGTCGTCAATGTGCTCCCATACAATGACGAAATTGCTGGTAGTTGTCTGCATTTAACCCATCACACCTGGAATACACCCAGGTGGAGCAGTGGG